TTACTTGATATAACAATTAATAATTTAAAGCCTGATAATGTTTGTTAATATGATTATTAATTTTTAAATTTTAATTATTACTTTAAGGGTGTGGTGACTTAGTGAAGTTGGCAAGTTGTCACATCCCAAAGCGGCAGGAACAGAGTTCGAATCCCACTGGCAATGAAAATTCGAATTTACAGAAAATGCATTTGGAAAGAATGTATCCTATTGGGTTATAGAACCTGTAACAGGGTTGCACCAGCTTGTACTGATAGGTAGTGGAACATGTAGTGTGACATACAAGTTACCCAAAACCTGAGTGAAGCTACCAAATAAATCTAGTGGATTGACAGGATATGGGAGTCCGTTTGGCAAGACCCGAGTGGAGGGGTAGCACAGATCTTTGATGGTTACTATGTGTAGGATGACCGGCCAGATACCAGAAAACTGAACGGGACTGAGGTGTTTGGCAAGAGCACTATATCAACCAGGCTGACAGACAACTGGAGAAAGGGTTTTGCCCTTCTGGGCTATTGGATTGGGAGTTTGGATTTCTGAAGGTATGGGAGGGAGTCTGTAAAGTAGGTACTGAAGTCTGAGTGAACTTTGCAAGGGTAGTAGTAGGTAACTATAGTAGCCTCAGCTCACAAGTACTTGTTCTTGAACTCAGCATAAGTTACCAAAAAGCCTAGTCTGAAAATGTGTGGGATATAGAAAGATTAGGGGGTATATACTACACCCTCCCTAGAGCAACCTGGTAGTACAAAAACCCTAATAGGTTATCTATAGAATTAGGGTATAAGTAGTTTAGCACATGTCGATCTGAGTGGTCTTTAATGAAAGCAGTACGAGGTTATAGGCTGGCATAATTGTGGTGGTAGTATAAGAGGGGTAATCTAAATGTATTACTAAATACCTAATAAAAATTCGCCTGTTCGCAACATTGCGAAGGTAAAAAAAAAAAATATCACATTAGAGTTATTGTTATCAAGATTTTGGATGTTGAGATTTTGTATTATAACCAATCAAATATTTAGATTAGAATATTTTAAGTATTTTATATATAACAATGTGAAAAAGTAAGTGAAATATAAATTTTAATACTGAAAATTTTATTTTTGCTTTACATAAAAGTACCTTAACAGAAGTAAATATCTCAATTAAGAGGGATATTTAAAGTGAAAGCAACAAATATTTCTTAATAATTTTTTCAACTAATTTTATAATCAAAGTTATCTTATATTAGAGTTAGATTAGATTTTAGAATGTTATTAAAATTGCATTTCTAATATGTTGTTTTGTATTTTTTAATTTTTTGGTTTTATTTTTTGTTTTGTTTAGCTAATGATTATTAAAATTTTATAATTTTATTAGCTATAATCATATAAATTTGTTTCTTTAGATAATTCTTAAATAATGATAAGAAGAATATGTAAAATAAAGGCAAATTATATAATCAACCACCAATTAAATTATAGAATTTTATAATTGCTAATGAAAAATACAAAAAATGACAGTTTAAATCTTCCTTAGATAGGTTAATTAAAAATATTAAAAAAGCAATTTTGCTTATTTTAACTCTAATATAAAATAACTCTAACTCTAAAGTTAACTAAAAATATTATTAAAAATTATAATTTTAAGAAATTAAATTAAAATAACCGGTGGTAATGATTATCATGTAACACAATGATCATCATAACATGTGATCCTGTATTTAAATTTATGTAGAGATCACTTGCTTATTTGTTTGTACATAATCTTTGCATAGTTTATTTGTTCTTCGTATAGCTTATTTAACTTTATTACAAATTGTCATTGCTCACTTGACAGTTATTAATAAATGAATTTTAACCTACCTTATTCTGTTAATAAATCTTGTTCTCTTTACTAGTCTTTATTGGCCATGATCATGTTTTTACTTGCTCTTGTTCTCTCTACTAGTCTTTATTGGCTGTGATCACGTTTTACTTGCTCTTGTTCTCTTTACTAGTCTTGATTAGCCATGATCTTTAGTTACTGTTCTTTAGTTACTGATATTCATTGTAGCTTTAGTGATGCGTTGTGCCTTTATTGTTACTTTTTGCTGTTACAATTTTTTTTTTACTGCCTTACTTTACATTAACATGTTTCCGTGCTGTGCTTTTTCTTGCCGCTACTTTTAACTCTCTGTAGCTTTTGTGACGTGTCTTGATTTTTTTCAGTCATTTTTTTTATTGCTGTTTGTCTGTTGTCATTGTGGCTTTAGTGGTGGTTTATTTTATTTCTTCCTCTGCTGTTGTTACTGTTCCTTTGGTGCCTTTTTTTTTGCTGCTTTTGGCTGTTATACTGCGCCTTTGTGCCATTTGTTTTTCTAGTCAGTACTTTACTTTACCACACATTGTGCCTTTAGTACCATTCTTTCTTTTATTTTTTTTCATTGTATTTTCTTTCCTTTATCTTTCGCCATTTGAAAAATAGCTTACAAAGGGTTTATGGGAGGTAGGAGTTAGTAATGCTGCTTGACTAAAATGATAGATTTCTAATTTTAAGTACTTAAAAATTTTAGATCTAATAGAATTTACAAGTGGTCTTCAGCTAAGTTTAGAAACTATGAATAGCACAAGCATAGAGTTATCAACTTCTGAAACGAATAAAACACTAGAATTACATACGGAAATTGAACAGGATCTTTAAATTTCAGTTGATAGCACAAGTGTAAAGTTAATAACTTCTGAAACAAATGAAATACTGGAATTACATACAGAAATTGAACAGGATCTTCAAATTTCAGTGGATAGCATAAGCATAGAGTTAATAACTTCTGAAACAAATGAAATACTAGAATTATATACAGAAATTGAACAAGATCTTCAAATTTCAGTGGGCACTATGTTTTCATCATAGGATCTAGCTGAAATTTGTCTCAACAACTATGCAAAAGCTGCAGTCTTCTCCTTGTGCCAAAAAAGGGTAGAAACTGATGATAAGGATGAAATTAGGTGATGTACATTCAAATATATACACTCTGGAGAGGCTATTAAAAATCAAGTTGTTGAGCTTTCCGAGCAACGTGATCGAAGCTCTGTAAAAATATCATGTGAATGGCATATAAATCTTTCCAAACCAAAAGCGTCTCCAGTTGTAATTGTTAGAAGTATAGTAGGAAACTATAATCATCAGATGCAACCAAACATTGCGTTATATGTCCCAAAATATAGAAAATTATCATCAGAAATCTTGAAAAGAATAAAGTTCTATGTAACAAAGAGAAAGATGAGTTCTGTGCATATGTTATCTCTTTTGATTGCAGAATTTTCTAACAATACAATCTACAAACCTGACCTTTACAATGCCATTCAAAAATTTCAGAAGCCACTTAATAAGTGTTATAGTGAAGCTCAAAAATTTGTTGAATATTTATTACAGTTAAAGCAACAGAACCCTGACTGGATTGTCAATATTCGGATGGACCCATATAATAGTCAGCTAATTGGGTTGTTTTGGATGTTTCCAATTCAACAACAATATTTGATTCAATATATTAACATTATTCAAACTGATAATACATGTCAAACTAATTGGTTTGACATGTATCTTACACTTTTAGTTATTGTTGACAATAATACAAAAAGTTGATTCGTAGCTCAAGCATTGACTGAAGACAAAACTACTGAATCATATTTATAGTTTCTTGACTGTGTTTGAATGCGACAAATAATATATTATCTGTTGTTTTATTTTCTGATGCAGAACCAGCCTTAATTAGTGCTTTTTCTTTAAAATTACCTTCAACATTATATTTTTTATGCATTTTTCACATTTAGGAGAATATTTGTAAACAACTACGAGGTAAACTTGGCAATTAGTTTGACAATTTTTATAAAGAATTTTTACATGCAAGAAATAGCACATTTGAAGAAGATTTCCAGAGAAGATGGTCACGTTTATTAAATAATTACCCTCAGACGCAAGAATATTTTAATTCAACTTTGCAGGGAAATATCAAATCATGGGCTAGGTGTCATCAACTAAGATATTTTCCAGCAGGAATTCAAAGCACTCAACACATTGAGGTAATGAACCAGCTGATAAAAAATGGCATAACAAGTCCCTCCTCATTATATAACCTTCATGAAAACATACAAAAACATTTGGATAATGAAGCACAATAGGCGTGACATAATAGCTATTTGAATTCTCTTCTTACTAATCAAGCGCCTTCAGTTTATGAATCAATATTTTTTTAAGTTTTGAAAATATTAAAGTTGTATTTAACACCACATATATTGGCTATGCAACAGCAACAAATTTCTGGATTTCTTTTATTTAGAGCATGATTATATCCAAAAGAAGATATTCTTGCATTACAGGTTTAATTTTCATTTTCTTTGTAAATTAATGATTTTGTAATTCGGTATTTGATTTTTTTTTCTTTTCTCTAATAGGTGAATGCTCAGTTGAATTATAATAATGGCTTTCTGGAGAATCAACTCAACAGGCCACAAATTTCTATCACATTTCTATTAAGGGAAATTGAACCAAATGATATAGTTGAAATATGAGAGCTCACATGCTTGTCAGTGGCTTATAAGCATTACGTTGCATTATTGAATGATGGTGGACATCTATGCACATTCATGGCAATAATTAATCGGGGTATTATATGTTCACATTATTTTCAAGTAATGATGAATACTAAGACTGCAAAATTTCATGTTGGTTTAATAGCAAGGCGTTGGTATCAGGATGGTTATCAGGATAAGGATTATAAAGATTTACATTCAAGTGTTGAAATTTCAACGATATTTCAACAAAAAGCTATAAGCACTACCACTATCATACCTGATCTTCATATTGTTGAACAAATTAGGAGCTTTAATATGCATAATGCACAAAATCAACAAGCAGTCAACAAAAAAATTAAATATGCGAATGGATTTGGAAAATTAAAAAAAGCTCTTAATCTTGCATTGGATATTGGATGTGAGGATGAGCTGATTAATCTTATTACTTGTTTTATTGAACAAAAAAAGTCCATGATCGAAAACAATCAAGATATTCAATTAGGACAAATAATTGTAATGGATCCCTTAGTTACAAAATATCGTGGACGTCCACCTACTAAAAGATTGAAAAGTTTATCTAAAAGCCAAGGTTATAAAGAATCAGCACACGCTCATCATTTAATGAATCTGCAAGGTCATAATTTACCAATAGCTCTTTCAGCTGTAGATCTGAATAATAATTATACTATAGATAGTAACTCAAATGCATTGTATAATGAAAGTAAAAGGAAATATGTGTGTAATGTATATGATGGGGTAGGACATAATACATGTACATATAAATATTAGGAATGATGTAGTATTTGTACAGTACGTAGCATATTTCTGTGATGTAGTATTTTAAGCTAGCAACAATTCAAAATTGTGAATTTCAACTTTGAGAATGATTTTAGATTAACGAATTAATAGCTTTCAGTTAAAGTTTAATAACTTTTTACTCAAGCTGTAATAATAAGTTATTTATTAAGCAGTAAGTTTTAAGAAATACAACTAACCATATATACTACTCGATATCAGATAAGTACAGTTAACATTTTTTTATATATATTAGTTGTATATGTAAACATTTGTTAATTTATATGGTTTTTCAGCAGATTCAGAGTGTTGGCAGTAAGATTGTACGTATACCAAAAAAGTACTACCGAATTCAAATATTGTTCATGCCAATTTTGTATACATTGCACATTGTATTATATATATTAGTTAGTTAATTTCGATAATAGTAGAATTCTTGTGAACACTAAAATAGTTTGTTATATGTTAAGGTTAGATAGTTTAGATTATTTAATGTCTTTTTAAACTACATTTCAATTTAAAGATTGTTTATATCAATATGTTAAAGGCTAGTTAAACAAGGTTTAGTAAAGTTGATTCCCAAAGCAAAATTATTTTGCTTTTTTCACTTACTCAAATTAACTCGCTTTATATAACAACTTGAACCATATATTGCTTAATATCTTTATTATCAAATATAGGTTTTTAAAGTAGAGCAAATCACATGTTGTGCCATTTTTTCATTAACATTAGGGTTAGGGCCACTTTGGGTTCGGATTAGAGGTGTTTATATAAACAAAATTGCCCTTCCAACATTTTTTGTTAATGCACTACGATGGGTTTACACTATTGGTTTTGATGTTTTTGCACTTTTTTCTTTTTTTATCGCTTATTTTGCTTTATCAGGCTGATTCAGGTTTATCAAATTTTGACGATCTAATTGGCTAATTATTATGTAATCTGTATTTAAATTTAGCATAATTAATTATATATATATAAATATGTGATATTATTAGTTAATTTATATTTATCACGTAACTATAGTGATTATCACCACTGGTTATAGTTAAATTAATCCTTAAATATGCTCAAATAAAAAAATAATAATTATAATTATATATATTAGTTTATCTAATCAAAACTATCATGTGAATAATATCATATACTAATTAGTTAATAAAAATCATGAATTTTTATAAAATAATAAACAACAAAATTAAAAATAAATACTGTCTAATATCATTATTATGTAAGCAAGTATATATTTGTTAATTTAAATTAAAATTATTAATTTCTAAATAGTATTTATTTACAAAAAAAAACCTTAACAATTTATATATTTTAATTTAATCTATATGCAAAAGACTATTTTTATGTTGGTCAGACCCAATATACAAGGCAAACTATAGAATCCTGCACAGCTGTGAGAACTGAGCTTGAAAGGGCAAGCATCCTGTAGAAGAAACCAAATTAGAGTTATTCTCAACATCTTTAAAATCTTGTAACTCTAATACCTGCTATAACAAATTTCTTTCATATTTCAATCTACCACTTCTACCTTCAAATTAAACACTTAAATTCTTTTTAAAACATCTTAAAGAACAAAAATTTAACAACAACTTTCTACTTTCAGTTAACTACTCCTTAAGTGAAATATATATATATTTACTTAATAATTATTCTTTACTACCAAATCACACAATAATTGAACAATTCTTAATAACCAAATATATAAACTTTCCAATTAGAACTACTTATTTCAATATATTAAACTTTGATAACAACCTTAATACTATTCCTAATATAACAGAAAATCACAACTTCAATGAATATGAATACAAATTCATTACCCTTAATCTAGCTTCACCTAATGTAAATAGACTTTTCCAATTCACCAAAAAACTGCTTATCAAAGAAACATTAAACCATAATTCATATGATATATTTGGTTTTTCAGAAACTTATATCTTATCCATAGAGTGAAAATTCTTTAACAACAGAATTAAAATTTATACAAGTTATTGGAGTTCTTTTTCCAGCTCACATAAAGCTGGTGTAGGATTATTTATATACAAGAATATTTCTAAATATATAGCATAATCATATAACTATAATGGACATATTATTGAACTTGATCTACACTTCAAAAACTCATCTATTAGATTACTTCAAATATATATCTTTACATCTGAAAAAAAATAACTGCATTAAGAAATACAAGAACAAATTACTACACTTTGTTTAAATACCAAATATAAAATTATAATAATGAAAGACTTCAATAGTGTTCCTAATCCTCGCACTAACCAACTACCACCCAAATCAACATCAATACCTGAACTTCAACTCACTAAGTTTCTTATTAGTCATCAATTCAAAGACATTT